TTTTTTATATATATATATATATATCTGATGTACAGCACAGGCCTAGAGGAAACCGGCCAGGTAAGGGGAAGAGAAACAGAAGCCTAAGCATGGAGGCAGGGTGAGAAGGCTAAACCACAACACAGAAATCAGGGTTGCAGGGGAAACAATAACAGGGGTTGTGTAGCTCCCTAGGTCACATAGTCAGAATGTCTAGCAACTATACAGTTACATTCATGCCTGAGCGTTGACCATTTACAGGTGATTTCGTAATTTTTGAGTTTTTATTTGTGCGATTTTCAGGCATATTCAGGCTTGAGTGTCTTTGTTATAGCCATGGAAAGCTCGGTACAAGGAGATGATTGTTTAGCCTTGAAAAAACTTCCATTGAAGTCTACGTGCAAAAAAACCTCATTCTGTCTCAAAGTAGCACATGTACCTTTCTGAGCTGCAGGTTTAAAACTGCAGGAGCTTGAGCGTTCATGTGAACAGGCCCGATTTAAAAGCATTGGATCTTGGTTGTTGAGCATATGGAAACTTTGAGCTTCAAGCATTAAAATGCTTAGCTGTGAACCAGGGCTAAGAAAGAGAAGAATCTTTTATTACTCTTATGTAGTGTTGAGACTACAGATGAAAAGTGGAAGCACAGACTACAGCTAGTTACAGAGTAAGGACTTGGGGTGCCCACAGACATAAACACCTCCTGCAGCAAGCTCTGCCATAGCGATAAATGCTCATCTTGGCCAAGTGTTGCCTCAAGTAAATAGAAAGGAATGAAGGAGAAGAGACAGATGCTACTGGACCCTCTTATCTCCAACTTCTCTATGTCTAAGGGAAGGCTTCCACTAGCCCCATTTCACAGTGGGGTCACTAGGAGTTCCTATGAAATTAGAAATCATATGTGGAAGAACCTTATTTTCTACCTCTAGTTGGGGCAAAAATCTAGAGAATATAATCTAACATGTTGGGGACTTCCAGGCAGGGCTGGTGCTAGACTATTCTGCGCCCTAGGCAAGACCAGCTACT